ATTGAGTTATCAATTTGTTATAAATTGCCAACATTATAAAATGCCACTCTGTAGAACTGATTTTTAAATGGGCAACTTAAGGTCCTCCTGTTTAGTCTTCACAGTTTAGGACTCTACAGTCTTTGTATACTTAAGAAGGTATAAATTTTAAATAATTGACAAACTTTTTATGTTTATGGCAGAGATTAGAACCTCTACTTGTCTATATTCTTGTCAAATAATTTTTAAAATATTAGTAATGTGTCTAATAATCAGCATCAGAAATACATAATTTTGGCTAAATTAACTGCCATCTATTAAATGCTAATTATATGCCACAGACTGAGGTAGGCACTGTTCATACAATATCTGTACTGAGCTAAGAAGGTAATTATTACCACATTTCACATGTGAAAAAGCTAAGGTTTAAGTGGCTTGCCTAACACCACACAGCTGGTAAGTGTGCAAATACATTACTTCAGTACTCTTAAGAATCACTATTAGAGCTCTCATTTGAGGAAAATTTGTTACAATTTCTATATCATAAAATCTTACAAAAACTAGCATGCACACAGTGATGAAAATCAGTGCTGTCATATTAAAGTCATTCAAAAATTTTAACTTGTGCCCTGGTAGGTTGTAATATTTCTTTAATGCATAAGTTCTTGGCTTATTCACACATTCTTGCTTCTCCAAATCCACTTCACGTGGAAGAGAAAATCAGTCAGTGTTTACTGAATAAGTAGGTGAATAATACGGGTAGAGTTAGCATATGTTCAAACAAATGTACTGCATTCTTTAGCTACCACTTATTTATTCATTCATTCAACTAGTATTTATTGAGTACCTACTGCATGTCAAGGACTGCTGTTGGTACTGAGAATATAAATTAAACAAACTATCCATTTTCATAGACTTTACAGTATTTGAGAGGAAAAATTCACTTGATTTCACAATTATGGGGCTTAAAATAAACCTTGAAACTTGATATGAGTGAATATGGTTCTTTTTCTATAGACATTTGGCTTAAATACAACAACTATAAACTCCTACCACCATACATACTAATGAAGAGACTAAACAAAACCATGGAGCATGGAAGCAAGATGATAGGGAGGAAGGAGAAAGTGTGTGGCAAAGAAAAAAATGCATATTACTACACATGGGGTTTCTACTCAACTGTCAAGAAACAGATAACTCCTATCTTATATAAATAATTTCATAAAAGAGAACAGGGAAGAATCTTCAACCACTTTAATGAGGCTAACATAACAATGACTTATAAATACTATAAGGACAAACAAAAAAAGAAAGAAAGAAAATTATAGGCCTGTGTTACTTATGACCATATTTATAAATACAAAAAGAATATATAAATTAATTAATTAATTAATAAACAAGACTTAAATTCCACAGGTTGTTAAAAAAGCAGTAATACGTCCTCATCAAGTTGGATTTATCTAACAAATGCAAGGATGGTTTAATATCAGAAAAATCTATCAATGAAATTCACCACATTCATAAATTAAAGGATAAAAAAAACCACAGAATTATATTAATAAATTTAGAAAACAAATTCAGTAAAATTCAACATTCATTTATGTTTTTACTTTAAAAATTCAGGAGTCTAGGAATAACTAGATGAATATTTACCAAAAACCTATTGCAAACATCAGTTAAGGGAGAAACTTACAGATACATTCTCTTTGAGATTAGAAATCAGACAAGGATGCCCACTATCACCTTACTAAACAACAAAGTAATGATGATCCTGGTGAATACAATAAGATAGTGAAAAGAACAATGAGATACATGGATAGAAAGAAAAGAAACAAAATCAAATTTCTAAAGGCATTATGATCAACTATACAGAAACATATCATAAACCAAAAAGCAAACTGTAATAGAAGAGCTGAGCCAAGTTGTCAGATGTAAGGTTAACATACAAAACTCAATAGTGTTCCTCAATATCAGCAATAACTAATTAGAAAACAAAGTAGAAAACAGTAACAAAAATTGTAAGTATTTTGCTACTACCCTAACGAAGAATGCAAAAGACTATTAACATAGAAAAAAGGCTTGATTAAATAATTTAAAAGTAGGTCTTATTCTTTCATGAATGAGATGACTCAGTATTATAAAAGTATCAATTCTTTCCAAAATTTATCTATATTCAATCAATTCAAATCAAAATTCTAGAAGTACTTTTTTATGAACTCAAACTGATTCTAAAATATATATTGAAAAGTAAAGGTCTAAAATAGTGAAGGCAATTTAAAAGAGGAGGAATGAGAAGGGACTTCTTTTACCAATATATGTAGATATATTACAAAACCAAATATAACAAACTATAGAGCTGAGAAATAGATTCGTGTAAATATGGATATTTAGGGTATTGCCAAAGGTACTACCAGGACTCACTGGTAATGTATAAATTATCTAGTAGAAATATAATTTGGGAAAATTTAATTCATCACACAGAAAAAAATTAAGTTTGATCTATCCCTCTTATTATATACAATGGTAAACCCAAGACAGATCAAAATCAAAATGTGAATGGTAAAATGTTAAAGATAATGTAAGGCAATGCTCTTGACCTCAAAATAGAGAGGGATTTAAAATAAAATAAAAAAAGATGTAAAAATACAAACTACATGTAAGGTTAAAATTGATAGACTTGATTATATCAAAACCAATAATTTCTGTTTCATAAAATATAACATAGACATACCTTAGCATATGATGGCAAACTGGGGGGAAAAATTTACAATATCCTAAACTGTCAATATCTACCATATACAGTGTAAGAAATTTCTAAAGTTTCTCTTTCCAGCAAAATAAAAAACTAAAACTAAAACAAGAAATCTTGAGAATATTACACTAAGCGAAATAAGTCAGAAAAGTTAAGAACCATATGATCTCACTCATGTGGTATATAAAACTGAAAGCAAAAATGAGCAAACAAGGAAAACAAACAAAAACTCATTGACACAGACAACAGTGCAGTGGTTATGGAAGGAAAGGGGGTAGAGGGGTAGTAAAGGGCAAAGGGGATCAAATATATGGTGACCGAAGAAGATTTAACTTTGGGTGGTGAGCACACAATGCAATATAAAGGTGATGTACCATAGCATTGTACACTTGAAACCTATATAATCTTATTAGCCAATGTCACCTCAATAAATTTAATTTTTAAAAAAAGAAATCACTGTGAAACAGAAACAAAACCAAAATTTAAAAATCTTTTCACCTATTCTACATATAACAGACTAGCTATTTCAGAGGAAAATATATATATATTTATTTTCTAGGTGTTTTACTGAAAAAAAATTCAATACAAAAATTGAACAAAGGTTAAAGATAGGCAGTTTAGAGAAGACAAATCTTAAATAATTAGTAAGTCTATAAAGAGAATCATAATATTACCGGTAATCAGAGAAATGCAAATTATAACAAAGAGCTATCATTCAACATCCATCAGGTTAACAAAAATTAAAATCAGTGAAATTAAGTATTTTACAATTCCTTATGACCCAGGAATTCCATTCCTAAGCATAGAAACTTGCACGCAAGTCCATAAGGGTATACAATTTGTTACAGAAGAATGTTAGAGGCAATTTAAGTTTGATCACTAACATAATAGATAATTAAAGCACAGCAAACACAAACCATCAGGTAACTATCATGCAGTAGTAGGAGCGATGAGTTAGATATACAGACAATAACAAGGATAGATATTAGAGATCGTGCTAAAAAAAAAAAAAAAGAAGTAAAACTAGATCCATAAGACAACACCATTTGAGTAAATGTAAAACACCTACATATATAAAGATCACTATTTTTCAAGGACACAAACACAAGCATGACTCTATATTAAACATATTAGAGTTAGTTGGGGATAGGAGACAAGTGGGACTGTGGATAAGAGATGAACGGAAAAAACATGATAAAATAAAATTCAAAAGGTGGCCTTGTATGAAATGATAACAGTGTGTCACAAACTAAGATATATATGATTTCTTTAATTCTCTGAACATGAGATTGAAAAAAATTTGTCTACTTATTTTAAATGCCTTGATACAACTCAATCGATATCCTGCTTCATCTTTATTTAACAAGGAATGAGAGGTGGAAAAAAGAAGTTAGACAGGGGGGACAGGGGGAGGGGGAAGAGGAAGCTGGAGGGCTAGGAGAACTGAAAGGAAGGAGGAGAGAGGAGAGAAAGCTACCAGGTCTTTTCTCAAACTAATAGAGATCACCACAAAATACTGCAGGCCATAAAGTCCAAGGACCAGTCCAAAACTGGAGTAATGACTAAGTGACACTGGGTTAAATATCTGGAGAAAGAAAATGGTTGACAGACTGGGCAGTAAGGTACACTCAGACGTATTTTGCTTTGCCTGATAGTAACAACAACCTGACAGAAGCCTAACTGAACTTTGCTAGAAAAATATCAATAATTGGCTTCTCTCATCAATTTGTCTTTAATGATACTTTAATGTCATAGTTCAATTTTTTTAACTGACTTTGTATGTATCTGTGTGTCTACAAGTAGGTGTACTACCAAGATGGAGAGAAATTCTAATTCATATATTAGAATACCATTAACACCCATAACATTATCCCCCCAGAGAAGCTCTTCTTTCCATATGCTTTGACAAAAGGAGTAACTGTCATCAGGAATAAAAAACAGTTTTTACATTATTTTAATATGTAAAGATAGGCTATTGTTATTTAAGTAACTACATTATTAAATTAAAAACTGGAATCTAAACATGTAACTACTTTTAGGTATAATCTAATAACGTGTTGGCATAGAAATTAATGTTACGAGCTATAGCCTATTACATGGCAAACAAAAGATCCAAGAAGAAAAGAAAGACTTTTTATAAAACTTAATACTCATTAAATAATAGTTTCTCTATCCTTATTCTTAATAATAACAAAAATTATCAAAAATGAGAAAACAGAGTTTGAATTCAATATGTATCTTTATTAGGTAGAGCGAAATAAAGACTCACCAGGACAGAATATATGTGTAGACATCGATAAACAGGAGAGAAATCCACCAAATCTTGGGCCCCAGGTACCTGCAAAACAATCAAGACTGTCACAAAATATTCAAACAAAGCTATTAACAGCAACTACATTCATTTTTACTATCCAACTGTTAAAACACACACACACACAGAGAATATGCTAGAAAGAGAGGACAGATCATGTAAAAAATAAGATAAAGCATGGAAAAGCCAAACCTAGAAGTAATACCAGCAAATTATAATATGAACAATGCATATAGATTAAACCTAGACATCCAAAGAGAAAGTAAAACAAAAAAACATCAGGTAAGAAATGGATTATAGTCACAGTGCTAAAACTGATTTGTTATGTGACATGACAATAGTAAATCACAATTACTTTGGCTTCAATTTCCTTAACTGAAAAAGAAACTATGAGTTGACCTATAGGAATTTAGTAAGAATAAAAGGAGACACTAAACATAAATATTAAACAAACAAAATAAAGCAAAAAAGACAAAATTACAGAAAGAAATAATTTTTTTAAAAAGACTGAGCTGAAGTTTTTATTGTAACACTGGTAACTATATGATTCATCAGAATATAACCATCTCGCCCGACCGGGCGTGGCACAGCGGTTGAGCATCGACCTAGGATCCAGGGGATCAGGGTTCGATTCCCCGTTAGGGCACATGCCCGGGATGCGAGCTGCAGCCGATCAATGACTCTCATCATTGATGTTTCTATCTCTCTCTCTCCCCCTTCCTCTCTGAAATCAATAAAGATATATTTTTAAAAAAAAAGAAAAAAGAAAGAATATAAACATCTCTATATTTACTGGTTCAAATTTATTGGCGGTTTTGTTCATTTGCCTGCATCCACGAAGGCAGAGAATAAATCTCTACGTATAAGAATCTCACAGTGCTACATACGCTGTAAACACTCAAACTTTTATGTGAATCCAAAGATTGACAGCAAGGTGCTCATGATCCTACACCATAGCCCAAGCAACATTACTGAGAAAACAGTTTATAGACACATGGGCCCATGTAGTTAAATAAAAAGTAAGATTAAAAGCACATCTTAACACAAAATGAAGCAAAGCGACCATCCAGGCACTCTTGCTTGAAATGACCACAGCATTAAAGCCTCTTTGACTGCAAAGCAGAGATTTGGGGAAAATTTGTCTTTCCAGAAAACCAGAGTCTACCAGTGAAAACCATAGCTAAACAAAACACAATCTCAAAAGAAGAAAAATAGAAGAACTTGATAAAATTATATTTATAGTAGTATTTAAACTACATAAAAATTAAAATGCATATGAAAAAAAGACAAGAAACGTTAAAAAAAAAAAACTTGACGTGTATAGGTAATGAAACTTTTTTCTTTTACTTAGAATTAATGATTATAAAGTTATTTATTGTAAATATATTTATAAAAAGTTAAGGATATATCCTAACCTAATTTTGAATAAAAAATTCAATCACCACTTTGTTTATATTTTCTTCCTGCAGTTTACTTTGTTTTGCTTTGACTCAGAGATATAGTTTTATACAAAAAGAAACTGCTTCAAACCATTCTTCAGACAGAGCCTTGGCCCCTTCCCAGGTCGGATCCATCCTTATTGAATGAACAGCCACATTAGGGGAGTTTCCCTACAAACCTGTGATGAATAAACTAATGGGGACCCCTTACTAATGGGCTAATAAACTGGTTTATCTGCGGGACACACACACACATGCACGCAGAAGACGAAGGCCTTTCCTGTCATCTCCCACCAAATTTTTACAACCAAACCTCTCCTCCGTGAGGCTGTGCTAACACCGTCACACTCCGCTTCAGCCTAAGTGCCCTGGCCGGGGAACATGGGCTTTGCTGCCTCTCGGCTCTGAAACCACAGCCGGCTAGGTCCTCCCGCGTACAGGACGGCCCGCTTTGAAAGCAGCACACGCAGAAACCCAGGCCTGAGCCGATGGAGCCCAGTGGCCTTCAGTTCCCACACTTCCCCTTCCCCGAGCAGCCTACCATTCAGAGTCAGTTTCGCCCCAGGCTTCCTTCTGCGAGGAGCCCAGGGTCGCGGGGAGGCCTGTAAAGCGCGCACTGACTCATGTGGCTCTGAGCCGGCCGCCTCTTCGCTACTTTCACTAACGAAAAAGAACCACATCTAGGGAAAGGGAAGGGAAGACAGCAGCCTGCCCTGTACGTGAAGGAATGCTACGCGTTTGGAAGGATAAGAAATGAACTTTCAAAAATCTAAATAAATGGGGGTGGGAAAGGGAGCCAAAGGCAGTTTTCCGGACTCACATCAACAGGCCTGTTCTAAGGTCCGCCTTTCGCTCCCCATTTAAAATGCTAAATCTATCAGACTGTCTTCACCCTTCCTCCCCTCCTCTGCCCCTCCTTCCCCTCAAGTTGCAAGAATGGTTCGAGCAGGTTTAGGTTTCAGCCAGGGCCGAGGGAGGGGTCCAAGGACACTTTCCTAAGCTAACAATGACTGTCTCTAATGGTTTCTGTCTCCTAACAAAAGCCAGGACTCGGTCCTTATCAGCTTCATCTAATTTTTCCTTTCCAAAGTAAATAACACAGCCCTTGCATTTTACACATGTCCAAGTTTGACAAATCATTATTGACTGAGACTATAACTGATAAGAGATAACTTTGTGGTAGGACGTTGTCATTTCCTCTCATAAGGGCTTTCTTTCTGAGATACAGAAACATGATTAAAATAGTTAAACATTTCCTCTGCCTGGCAGTCAGGAACTCAAGACATTAAGATACTGGAGTCTGCATTTTTCTAGTTCAAATAGATCCAGGAAGATATTAACCGTGGCCACAAATAGTACAGTCAAGATTATTCTGCTTTTTTTTAACTAATTCTTTTCCTTATGAATTCACATGAAATAATTTCATCACCAAGGACAGCAGCTGCCTAATCCCCTATATGGTTTCTGAATGGAGAGCACTAGTGCCTTCTGTCAGCTCAAACCTCCTTATTTGCAGAGAAGCAAATAGTAAGATTTTAGATTTTGTAACTAAAAAACCTATGCCTCAGAGCATGTTATAATATTATATAAGTTAAGATGTTAAAATAATATTCTAGTAAAAGAATTTAGGGGTGACTGGATTACAATATTCAGAGATAGATACAAGGAAGGGAACTACTACATTCTATAATTACACCATCACATAACCATTAGAGATCGTGTATCTACCAATGTATATGACTAATCTGTCTGTTTCAATATGACATTTACATTTATACAGCTTCCATCAATACACCAGCAAGAAAACAAATGATGCCACTATACAGATCACTAAAAAGAGTTTTTAGACAAAGGAAGCTCTAAAGTAAGAAAGTAAATTTAAAAATAGGATTAATGAAAGGCACACTGAAAAAATAGTCTTATAAGCCTTTCAGGCAATATATTTTGAGGAAGATATAAAAATTCCAAATAGAGCCTTGGCCCGGTGGCTCAGCTGGTTGGAGCACTGTCTGGTACACCAAAAACTTGTGGGTCCAATTCCTGCTCAGGGCACATACCTAGGTTGTGGGTTCAATACCCAGTAGGGGGGCATACAGGAGGCAATCAATCGATGTTTCTCTCACTCATCAATGTTTCTCTCACCCTCCCCCTCTCTCTCTAAAAAATCAATAACAACATACCCATAGGTGAGGATTTAAAAAAAAAAAAAAATCCAAGTAGAAATGGGAATATTAGATGGTCAGAAAGAAAAGAAACATGAACATTTAATTATGAAAATTCTTGCAAAACATCAGGATCTGACTTTTAGGATGTTTTTCTTCTGATCGAATATATCTTAGTTCAGGTCAAAGTCTCTGAAAATGGAAAGTTAATGGGTAAGTTCCTCTCATACAGAATAAAGAAAATGATTTAACTTATTAAAGAAAAAAAGGAGATTTTGATTTTAAAATAAATAATGGCATTCAAGTGTTAACAAATACATCCATTTAAAAATTTTATAACACCCCTTACCCCCAAAAAAGGAGCTCGGAATTAGTAGCCATTTCTACTATTTTAAAAGACTCACTAGGGAATGAGGTAGGAAAAATAAAAGTGTCTGCAGGTAACAATCTGATAAATCTACCTGCTTTATTACGGGGTGAGCATACCATTAGGAACAAAGACTGAAGTACAAGAAAAGATTGCTTGTCTCCCTCCACTCAAGAATCGAAGCAAATGGACTGAGAAATGTACCTCCGCTGCTGATAAAGATAGTGCGTGAAAACAGAAATGCATTAGTGCGCTCTAGCCCTGCTGTTCGCACAGCTGTCCCAGGAGATACACACACACATGCCATTTATTTTTCTCTTATGAAATCTTTCAAAGTAGGTGTATCGTCCAAAAAGAGTATGGCAGAAGTTTGTGAGGAATTTCGCTGTTTCTCACTAATTACTGGAGTCATTGTCCTTGAAAATGCTTTTGATTACCACTTTACTCAGGAGAGTTTCTCAGGCCCATTTCTGAGCAATAGTTGGATCTCAAGTCATTAAAATGTACCAGGCGTCTTTCTAAAGGAAGAAAACAACAAATGGTTAGCTGAAGGGGCGATGCCTTTGCATTCTGAGGATCAATTTTGACTGCCCATATTATGTCTGGAAGCCAGGAAATACCTGGCAAACATTTTATACCAGTGTAATTTTCTGTCCTACTTTGCTTCCAAAACTTCAGAGAAAAGGAGGGTAGAATTCACTTGGACATAAGCTTTCATAGAGCTGGACTGAACTCCAACAACACAACACACCAGAAGGCCTGGGATTCTAAGTGACTGGAATTAGCAAAACTATAAAGAATTTTCTAAGCCTTTGAACATATAAAAATACCCTGTCCAGAGCCCTAGCCTAAAAGTACCAGATTTTGCTGGTCTTTATTTAACAACAGTCTACTATATGCTAAGAAATTGTAAACTGTTAGGTTAAAAAAAGGAAATTTAGAAACTAAATACAGTATTAAGTATAAAAGTTCTGAGAGAAGGAAAAATTAAGGTAATCAAATAAAAATAATGTTATAATAATGTTATAGGGAAAGAACTAATATCCCTAATATAAAAAG